TTCGTGAATACCAAACCAGCACTCCAAAAAATTTTAGACAATATCCTAGGAAAAGACAATGAGGATCACAACCCCAGGAGGCCCAGCAGAATTAATCCATGAGGCACAACAAAAACTTAAATGCAAAGGGGGGAGAATGCAACAAAAAGAAAGTCATGACAATGAGAATATTTTAGTTAAACATAACTGAGGCTCTACATACATTGTTGAACTTCCGATTTACGGAGAGCCTTTGATATCCATCATTCTTTAAACATTTCTGCTAGAGAAATAGGCCAATCATGTGCAAATATCATTTATTAGCATTACTCTACAGCACAAGCAAGCAAACTTCTTTCCTTTTGAAATACAAACATTACCTATGTTGACTGGAGTGTACTTGCTCTCTCTTAATTTCCTTTTCCCGAAAATGATGGCAAAAGAACTTTGTTTATTTTAACTTGACCCATCTTTCGCAACCCAGCTTAATTATTTTACAGATTTCCTTTTGAAATAAATGGGCTAGATGATCAGACAATAGTGGCAGACTTTGGCCATTTCACTGACATATAAAAGAGGCACTTTTAGTGAAATTTATATATCAAGTTTTCCATTGTGCTCCTTTTCTCTACTAACAAATTCACTTAGTAAATAGAACCTTATTAACTCAAAGGAAAGAAAGTCAGTGTGATCATAAAGGTCTAATTTATACAAATATAATTAGAGATATGTTTTACTACTTTAAAATACAGTACAAATTACATATGAAGGTAGAGATTAGTACTAATAATTATATAGAGATTAATACTAAAAAAAGGTATAAGTAAAAATGCTCTAATAAACATAAAAATCATAAAAATAAATTTAATTAAAATCTTAAAGATAAAATTTTCTTTTATTTAAATTTGTTACTAGACTCAGTTGTAAGAAGCTCTGCTTTTCTTGATCTCTTACATCAAAACTGTGAAAATCCTCCCTGAAAAGTATGATATTTAAAAATACTATTCAATGTCACCACACCTGCCTGGCAAGTGCAAGACCCTGAGTTTGATCCCTGATACAAAAACAAAAACAAAACAAAACAAACTTTAGAGCATATTATTTTGTATAGAATAGTAAGTTTTGCTTTGGATATTTGTACATGCATATAACATACTTTATTTCCATGTCCCATTACCTTCCTTTCTCTTTCCTTTTAATTTTCCCCCACCTCCTTTCGCTAATAGTTTCTTTTTCTACTTTCCTAGGATTTCTTTTTCCCTTTCTCCTCTTAAATTTTTTCTTTTTGGAGTCCACATGTGAGAAAAAAACATGATATTCGACCTTTTCAGTCTGGCTTATTTCATGTAATATGATGATCTCCAGTTCTATCCATTCTGTGCAATGACATGACTTTATTCTTCTTTATGGCTGCATAATATTCCACTGTGTATGTATAGCACATTTTCTTTGTACATTTATTTATTGATTGGTACCTAGGTTGTTTTTATCACTTAGCTATTGTGAATTGTGCAGCAACAAACATGACTATGCAACTATCATTAGAGTATGCAGTCTTTGTTTCAGGAATATATTAAGGAGTGGTACATTTGGATAAAATGATAGCTCAATTTTTTTCATTTGTTAGGAAATGCTACCCTGATTTCCATATGTTAGGAAATGCTATACATATTTCCATGTGATTTCCACATGCTGTACTAATTCACATTCCCATCAACAGTGTAAAGAGTCCCCCACATCCTTTCCAGCATAGTATGATTTTTGGTATAAAAATATTTCATATCTGAATGAATGTAAATTTTGAATGAGTGGTAGGTGAATTAAGAGCTAGCCCTTATATTTCCTTTTTGTAGATCTTGGCTATCCTTAGACCATTTCCAACACCAAGGATGGTACTACTCATGATTTCTCTTTAAAACAAACACATTGTGAGCCTTCTCTGATTCAGACCAAATCTAAAGTCATCTCAGTTTGAAATTGAATCCAGGTGGGTCTCTGTCAATACCAGAGACAAATGGAACCTTCTAGAAGCATGTTTAAAGGTGGTACCACATCACGGCAAATGCCCTGGTCTAGAGGAGAAACACCAAAGGGAATGGGATTCCTAGTTTCTAGCCCTAAACTCCCATTTAGAGTCCTTTTATTTGTATTAATAAAAAGAAGTCCCCTGGATGTAAATTCCTATAAAATACCTCATATCTTTATCCTTGGACATGAAAAGGTGTGCTAATCTGATTTTAGTTTTCTTACTTAAAGAGCCTTCTTTCTAACATTAATAATTAACCAGATAACTATTTATCGAAATTCTTGAAGCTCAGTTGAAAAGGAAAATAGCTTCCCAAAGGTTATACCCATGGTTTAATACCACCTCTAGCCATGGGCCTGTTGGGAATACTTTGTTTTTTAATCTTCCTGGAGAAAAGCTGGGGACAAGAACAAACGTAAGTAAAATAAAACATCTGTATTTTACAATGTGTCTTAGTTGTGATGAGTGAAAAAGTATATTCAACAGATTGTGTTAATTTGAAAATAACTTTTTCCTTCTGAGAGCTCCAAGTGCATTGTTTCATTTCTGAATGAGAAAGTCATGGAAGCATTTTCATTTGATGAATGGGTAACAATATAACAGCCTTTGTAGGTTTTTTTTAAATTAAAAAATACGCAATTGCTCAAATTCCTCTGCAAAAAAACTGAAAGGCAAACCTCAAATCATAATATGTCTTGGCATTTACTGCTTATTTGTATTGGTGGTTAGTTTTCTTTGTGTTTTCCCTGGACTATGCACAGCTAAGTGAGAGTTACTTGGAGTCAATTCTAACACTGTGATTTGAAAATTTATTGTTGCAATTACTTCTACATTTATGAACTTCTTCATAAATTTTAGTATTAAAATCCTATGAGTTTTAAACCATGTCTTAAAAATATCAATCTCATATCTAGCAATAATATCTTGGTACAGAAAAGTAAGTGGTGATTGGACAAAAGTCACATTCTTTTTTTGACAGACAAGTCATAAAAATTGAGATTAATTGATTTCACAAGAGTGGCAGCACTAGGGCTAGAACCTAGGGTTCAGAGATTCTTCTTGAAGGTATTCTCAATTCTTTCAACTGCGTTATATTGGCCCTTAATAAAGAGTATTCCCCTGTTTTCTCTGAAAAAGGGAGAGTGTACAATTTGCAACATGCTAATCAATGACTTTAATTGATTGATTCAACAAATATTTATTGAGTACATACCATGTGATAGACAATGAGGATGTAACAGATGTGAAAAGACAATTCTTAAAACTTTCATTCTAGTGTGGGGGGAAATAAATAATGCATGAACCAATGAAAGAATGAATAAAAAGCTGGTAGTTATGATGTAAGAAGAAAACAATAATGAAGAATAATCTAGAAGTGTGGACAGGAAAGGCTCTCTTAAGGAGGTGATTGATACTCAAACAGAGCTGTAGCACTCACACCCAGGGTGAGGCTGCCCATTATCCACACTCAGAACTATGCCAAACTCATCAGGGGACTAATTTAATATCACACACCCTTGATTTCAGCATCACACACTCCAGATCCAGCCACCTCAGAAGCCCCACCTGTGACTACATGAGGATTTAGGGGGACATCTGACAAAAGCCATAACACCAAAGTAACATTTTCACCTCTGCAAACTCTGGGGTCTGATCCTCTGCAGCTATTAAAAGAAAGTAACAGTATGAAATTCTTCACATGGATAATACATCAATAAGTACCAAAGTTTGTATGAAGGGTGGTCCCGGACCCATCTTTTAAAGGCTTCTACACACTGAATATTTTATGTCTCATCATTACCACTAATAGACAATTAAAAACAATATTAAACTAAAAAAACTAGAGCCTGTGAGAATATTGAAATAATTTTTTATTCCTTGATTTTTCTGATAGCAAAATTCTTAATAAATTCAGTTTAAGACAGCTATTAAAGCTGTTAATTCTGGAAGCAGACTATTCATGTTCAGTTCTTAATTCTATAATTTACCTTCAGAAAGTTTATTACTAGCTTGTTCACCTTTATATGGGAACAATAAGACCTTCCTCACCAGGTGCGTAGTTGTAGCAATGCAATGAGTTGTATGTATATAAAGTGTTTAGAATGCTGCCTGGCACAGTAAGGCTTTCATAAATGTATCTTGTTACCACTTCTTGTTGTCTGTGGTCCCCTGCTAAGCATATGTGTCAGATGATGTTTAGAAGTCTGGAGATCCTGTAATGAAGAAGAACTGCCAGATGCTTTAAAGGATTTAATTGTTACCAACCTAATTTATTGCTACTAAAAACGTGTTGATTGTTAAAGAATTTTTAAATCCTATAATGTTGGCAGGAGCTTGCAAAATTCTTCTGGGGTGAGTGAGTGGGGGTGTACCCTAAGCCAGGTGGGCCATTTGAGTTAGTTAATCACTATGCCTTTTGGGGCTGATAAACAATTCTTTTTCTTTGTAATAATACATAGCTATCACTACTCAAATTAGACAGTTTGGGGATATATTATTAATAATCTAGTTGATATTTGTAAGCTTTTATTTAATAAGATAATGAAAAAAATCCACCCCTTTAAAATTTTATTTTGAAAGCTTGTATAGATTCATTTCCATTCTTGCATAAATTGCCTGAAAAATAATATTGGGAGAACAGTCTATGGTTTGGAGAGTACTTGCGACCTTGACCTCAGTTATACACATGACAATTGAGAGAAACCTGAATAGAAAGTCCTAGCTCCTTTATTTATAAGTCATGTGACCTTATTCAAATTAACCTCTGATCACATGGAAAACAGGAACAATAGTGCTACTTCATTGACTTGTTCTAAAGATTAAAACTATTCTATGTAAAGTGCCCACAAGAGCTCTTACATGTAACTATTCAGTTACTGCTGTTATTACTGCTGTTGACTGCTGCTGCTGCTGAGTCCCTCCATCAATCACTGTTTTCCTTTTCAGATGCATTCACTTTCACATGCACTTGTATTCTATCTTTGTCTTTAGCCACTCACCATACAATGCAATACTTCTATTATTCCTTTCGACTAATTTAGTGAAATTAGTGACTCTTATTATTTGAGTACTAAGCATGCTGGGTGCTTTCATAAACGTGCTTTTATTTAACCCTAACCACAGCCTGATTTTTTAAAAAGCGGCATTTCCACAGGTATATTGTTTTTGCTTTGGAGATTAGTCACTTTTACTTCAGTCACTCAGCCAGCAGATGGCAGAGCTGGAATTCTAGTGACTGTGTTGCTTTTTTCTTTATGGGGGAGGGAGCAAAAGAACCCCACTTATAGTTCTAGTTAGCATCATTAAGTCCTCATTGGCTGCAGGAGGCCGAGGGGAGGTGCTGTTACTGCTTCCTACCTGTAACCCAAACCCCCAGCTCTGTTTCTCTGGTCTTAATTCCAAGCTGTTTCTTCTTGGAAAATATGCTGAAATTATCATAGATCAGGGAGTAAGCCTTTTATTTTAATAATTTTAACTTGAAAGAGCCCATTTTAAATTGAATCTCTCAAGTGAGGGAAAAAAGAACATCTGAAGTATTTTTTTTAATGCCATACGAAGATACTGCAACTTTTCTTTTCCTGTTTCAACAGGTATGTCATTTCAGCACCAAAAATACTCCGTGTTGGAGCATCTGAGAATATTGTCATTCAAGTTTATGGATATACTGAAGCATTTGATGCTACAATCTCTCTTAAAAGTTATCCTGATAAAAAATTTAGTTACTCTTCGGGTTATGTTAATTTATCCCCAGAAAATAAATTTCAAAACTCTGCCTTCTTAACAGTATGTATTTATCCTTTATTTTCTTTATATTTACAGAGTATTTCTGATAAAAAATGTAAACGTCTGAATACTGATAATGTAGAGATTTCATTATTTGCACCACTCTACCACTGTGTGATTAGATGTTTATCAGTCCCTAATAATAATATGAAGGAAACAGAAAATTCTCAACAGAATTGTGTCTGCTTTTTGAGCAATGCATGCAAATGTTCACATTCTTCCTTCTGGAAAATAAAATTGCACTAATGTGAAAGATTTGGACATGAATTTAAAATGCTTTGTTGTTATGAAAATTATCATTACAGAGGAACAGAGAAATATAAATATGAATGTTGATTTGTGGTGCATTGCAAAAATCCATGGATACTATTGAATGTTTATTTAAACTCCAATATTCTACAATTATACCTTCTAAAACTAATAAAATTATTAATTGCTTAAGTAGTTCTCACTACAACCTCTAATTAATAGAACGACTTTGATCAAATAACTTCTATTAACATACTACATGTATATTATGCAATGGTTAGAGACATGCTTGTAACTGATTTCTTATTATAAATTCTGATACTTAATGAAGAACAAGAAAAACTAGAGAATATCAGACTTGGAACAGGGTCTGAGGTTCCTTTAGATCAGTGTTTTTCTAAAATGAGTTTTTATAAAAGAAATTAAAAATTGAAATTTTATAGAGTTTACAATTAAAGCTATATTGAGTTTTTAAATATTTTGAATTCATTTTGTAAACGTTTTGATTTTAATTATGTAAAAGTAATAAGCATAAAGTTATACCTAATTTTATGTTTGTTTATACTTTAGTCACATTGTAAATTATTTTTTACTATATTATAAATAATAAACATGGAGCATCTGCCATATCTTTTATCCTTTACAAGTGATATGTATATTACTCATGTTTGAAAACATTGATCTAAATATATTAATGTTTTTTATGGTAAATATCCTTATCTCATAACAGATATTTCCACTTATTAGGCTTATGAGGAATTAAAGCTCATTTCCTGAAAGTGTTATTTTCAGTAGACACTCATTTATCTAATAGGACAAAAGGTTAGCCACTAGCCTCGAGTGGCTGTTTATCTTTAAATTTCAATAAATCGAATATTCAGTTCCTCAGTCACATTGGCCATACTTCAAGTGCTCAATATCCATAGGCGACTCCTGGCTACCATATTCCCTGGCAGAGCTTTCGAGCACCTCTATCATCACAAAGTCTTATGGCATAGTACTTAGATGGTTAAGCGAAAAGTAGATGAAGGTGAGGGGATCATACAGAGTAATACATATCATAAGCTTTCAAAATTACCTTAACATTATAAAGTATCTTTCTTTGCCAAATATTTGATATCATGCCAGTCTTTCCTTAAGTGTAAGTCCACTGAGTAGAGTGTCAAATCTTATTTATTAGATATTACACTTTTAACAAATCATCTTTGATCTGTAGTTTCTTTCATAAAAGTGAAAAAAGAATTTAAAGACTCTTGGAAAGCAATTTGAGTGCAGAATAACTATGGATTTACTGTTTTCCCAATTTCTACAATAATTTCACATACCTAATTCTACAGCAGTTGTTTTTAGTGATTAATTGTTCTCCCATATTTCCAAAGCCTAAATTTTCATAAAAACAAGGTTTTTAAAAAATTTTTTCACATGTTATTATATATTAAATTCACGTGATTGAAAGTAAAGGGGATTTCTGCAATGACAAACAGAAATTAGAAAGTGTGCATCCACCCAGTGAAAGCAAAAGTGTGTGATGTAATACTAAGTAAACAAGACAACAGTCAAGATGTTGTATAGAGGGAATGGGAGCGTGGGTTAATGCAGTGAGCTGATTAATTGAAGTTTTCTATGAGCTTTTATAGTACTAGTTTTATTAAATGTGTGTAAAATTTAGAAAACATAGAACCAAAAAGACTTTCAATTGCCTGAAGCTAAATTTTGTTTAAGAAAATAGATACTAAAGGGCTTTGAACAAAATTAATATTCCCTCCTGTCTCCTGTACCACTTTTTACACACTCATTTTTATTCTAATGAGATTAAAATGGTTTCTGGAAAGTTGACATGTTTTATAACCTTAGAATTAGTTTACCCTTTTTTCATCAATGTTTTCTTTCACAGATACAACCTAAACAATTGTCTGGAGGACAAAACACAGTTTCCCATGTGTATCTGGAAATCGTATCAAAGCACTTTTCAAAATCGAAAAAAATCCCTATAACCTATGACAATGGATTTCTCTTCATTCATACAGACAAACCTGTTTACACTCCTCACCAGTCAGGTAGAGTGTAAAATGCTTTTTCTTGGAGAGGTGTAAGGAGACTGACACTATATTTAGAGGTTTTTAACACCTGGAATTGAATGGAGACAGGTTTCCATCTTGCTCAAAACATTCTCAACACCTAAGAATTTTTATACTTTCCAATCACATTTTAAATTTAAATTTATAGAGTAACTGCTAAGTTGCAAAATTAGTTACATTATCTGCACCATTAGTTACTTCCAAGTAGGAAAAGAGAAGCTTTTTAAACATTGTAAAATGTTGTTATTTATGGAACAATTAAAAACATATTGCATATACAGTTTTGACAATGGCAAAATCATTTTTTATACACCCATGTTCAAGAAAAAATTTTATTGGCCCTGAAGATAATCCCTAAATTGGAAAAGAAATCCAATCCAGTGTGATATTTCAGCAGAGTATAATAAACTAGATCAAAGAAATGTACAGGTATTAATTTTCAAAGGGCATCTGCCAAAGAAAGTGCATGACTTTACTGTTCTTCTATTAAGAGTTGAAAAGGGCAGTGATTGCAGAACGGCTGGATTTACAAGTGTGATCAAAATACATGGAGAATGTTTAAATTTTAAAAATTATTGCAGTAAAAGAAACACTGTCATTAATCCCCTCAAATTACGCTCCCACACTTCTAACACATTTATCCTGCCATTCTTCCCATTCTCTGAAGCAGTTCTGGAAATCCTCTTTGTGAGTGTCTTTATGAGATGTGATTTTTAAAAAATACCATGAATGCTGCTGCCGAGTACCATCCAACAGAAAGGCAGGCTTGTGAAAACCTCATGGTGTGTCCTCATCCTCTTTATTCACAAGATCTGGCACCTTGGGACTGCTGGCTCTTCCCCAAAGTCATGATGACCAGGAAAGAGAAAGGTTTTGAACCCATTGTGAACACTGAGGCAGCCATGATAGCAAACTAAAGACACTCGTGAAAGAAGACTTCCAGAACTGCTTCAGAAAGTGGCAAGATGGATGGAATAAGTGTGTTTAAAGCAAGGGAGGGCATTTTTAGAGGGGTTAATGGCAATGTGCTTTTTACTATGATAAATGTTTTTAAAAATTTACTGTATTTTTTATCACACTTTGTACTCCCAATGAACTGAAAGAGACAGAAAAGCATGAATGCCACTCAAAATATTCATGTGTTTGCAAAGCCTTCAATTCCTTCATCTCTCTTTCTTACCATTATTGAATCTGAGTACATCAGAGGTGGAATTACGAGAGACCTGTACATGAAAGGAGGAGATGGATGTTTCATGAATTATATTGGTTGGGGAAGGACAGAGAAAGGGAGGCAGGACCAATAGGTTTTGTTGACAAACCGCACACAGTAGATACTTGCTAAATGTCAATTGGTGCTCCTGATGACAATGGTGAGGTGGTCAGGGGCTCTACAGTCAGCATATCAGCAGCAGCTCCTGTTACAATCAGCTCAGAAAGGAAGGCCTAGAGACCATGGGGATATTGCCATCAGCTTAGAGTAGAATTGCCAAAATACCACCATCTCCTGGCTCTAAGAAGATGACTTGTTGAACGGAGCAATAGTATCTGCCAAGAAAGTTGGGTCCTCTTAAGCTTAATCATACCTAGAAACAAGCATAACCTTGCCCTTTTCTGCCTCTTGTATTAGAGGATGCTTTATTGATTGGGTCCTGTTCACATTATCTACAACTTAAATAAGTACATAGTCTAATATTCAGAGCCTGAGACCTTTCTTAGTTGTCAAGGCTGTCCTTAAGTACTGCCCTACTATTATTTCTTTATCAGAACTGTAAGAAGATGAGGTACTCTAATCATCCTAATAGTGGAGGAAAACCAGAGCACTTCCTCTAAATACTGTCGGCCCACTCATGCAAGGTTGTTAAGTATAGTGGTGAAAAGCAGACTCTGGAACCAGAATGCTTGGGTTCAAATCCCAGCCTGGACTGTTGTTATCTATGTGACCCCTTGTGAGTTAGACTCTCAGAGCTCCATTTTCCTGATTTGTACAATAAAGATAATAACTTTCCTCCTGGAATTGTAAAAATGAAATGTGTGAGAGAGAGAGAGCCCTTAAAATAATGCCTAGCACATAGTAAGCACTAGAATAGTATTTTTCATTACTACCTAGTCTATGAAATGGTGCAAATTCTTTTTTTACACAAAAGAAAAGGAATTACAGGGCAGGGAATTTAGCTCAGTGGTTTTGCTGCCTGCTGTGCAAGTGCAAGGACCCAAGTTCGATCCCCGGTACCAAAAAAAACCAAAAACCAAACAAACAAACAAAAAACCCCCCCAAAAACAAAAGAAATTACTTAAAAAGCAATTTTAAAAAATTGATTAAATCTTGCTGTCTACAGCTTTAGAGCTATACACATTTAATCTGGAGTCTTGAGGGATAATTAGTATGTGCATCTTTGGAGTAAAGGTTTAAGTCTCCAAGGCTTTATAGGATAAAAGATGTTAAAATATTGACCCAAATACTTCAGTTCCACGCAGCCTTCTTCCTCGGCTTCATCACCCACCTACCATGTTCCCCCCGCTGGGGACTCAAGCCAAATGGACCTCAGTTCAATTGCTTTCCCCACCTTTTGTCATCTACTGCAAGGCCCATGATATCTGCCCAGTACTCTTCTGTTCTTCTGCCCTCCTTTGCCTTATTAACTCATGCTTCACCCTTTATGGGATCCCAGGACCCTGTGGAGAGCAGTCTCTTCAGACCTCACTCACCACTTCAGAAATCTCCCTCTTCCTCACCTCTCCCCTCCCCCTCCTCCTCCCCTCCCCCTCCCTCTCCTGCCCTTGTTTCTTGGCAGTGCTAGGGATCAAACCAGGGGCCTGTACCACTGAGCCACATCCCCAGCCCTCTCTGCTGTACTCTCAGAAAGCCAAGCAGATGCCCTTTGTACCACTTCACACCCCTGAAATTTCACCTATATTTCTGTTTACCCCTCTTCTCTACCCCATTAAGAAGGTGTCCATGTCTACTTTCTTTCATGACTGTATCTCAGAGCCCAGCATCTGCCTGGAACATGAATGGCATTCCACAATTTCTTTAATTTAGTAAGCCATATCTTTGACAGAAAAATTGCATTGATTTTGCCTTTGATAACCATTGCTGTGGAGACAAGATTAATAATCTAATTTAAACACAGACTGGGTTAGAAACTAGACTAATACAAGTTATAGAAATGATAATAAACATTTTACTGATTACTTTCATGTGCTGGGCTCTGCAAAAGCATTGTTTTCTGCAGTTCTCACAGCAACACTATGAAAAAATGCTAGTATTCCTGTGTCACCAATGAGATAACTCAGATTTAGAGATTAAATATCCAACTCAAAGTCATATTAGAAAGTGGAAGAAGTAGGAGTGAAACCAAAGTTTTGAACTCCGGGCCCTTGTGTTCTTAACTTTTGTCACATCTGTCCTGTGACTTTCCCAGTGATGCTTAGGCCTGGACTAGGTGTGTCCATGAGGCAGGAGGGAAGAGTCACGGTAGAAGACAGGTGTGATGCTGGGGATGTAGCTCAGCGGTGCCTTGCTTGCCTGGCAAGTGCAAGGTCCTGAGTTCGATCCCCAGTACAAAAAAAAAAAAAAAAAAAGAAGACAGGTGTGAGAGAAGAGAGCAGGTTATGGGAAATTTACTGAGCAAATTGCTTTTATCTGTGGTCTTAGCAAAGTCTTTTTTTTAACAAGGCTTTTGCACTAAGGTATATCCCACTCCTTTTAAAAAATTTTATTTTTTGTCTTGAGACAGGGTCTCACTAAGTCACTGTTACCCACTCTGGGTTTGAAATTGTGATCCTCCTGTCTCAGCCTCCCAGAGGGCTGGGATTATAGGTGTGCACTACCACAGCCAATTAAAACTTGGATTTGATGTAGCATCATTATAGAGCTTTATGTAAAATACTGACCCTCTGAAAGGTATTGAAATCGTAGTACCAGTTCTGCTTTATTATGTGGGCAAAGTTTTGGGCATGGAATGATTGGAGCATCACCAAAACCCTAGTGAAATTACACTATGTCATCGAAAGGGACTAGATTGGTGCGTATCAAACAACTATGAGCTAAAAACTAAGCAGAGGCTTTGGTATAAAGAGTAAGGATCTATTAACTGCAAAATGAAAGGAAAGAAAATAGCACTGAGTCATGCCATTACTCATTTAACAATAAGAGGAACATCATAGAATTTGCTCAATAACTATAACACAACAATACAATTCAAATCTGCCTGTGATAGTAAGGGCTAATATGGGGCCTTGTTGGTTTTTGTAAGTGGAAGAGTGTACACATCTGAATTAAACTCTCAATTTGCCATTAAAAATTTAAAACCTAATATAAGATAATATTTTATGCTCCCAAATATCACTATTTTGCTACCATGAAATTCATGATAAATAATAGCCTAATTACTAATATAGCTAATTTTGTAGCATGGATGTCTTTCCAAAAAGTTGTATACAAGTGTATTTCAACAAAGTGAAGTCTACTTTAAATTGACCCAGAAAAGTAGCTCTTTAAAGAAATGCTAGAGGATTCTCTTTAAAATAATAGTAATATATGTCTAAAAATTAATATTTTCTTTCTTTATAATGTGTATTTTTATGTGTGGATTGTGTGTTGAATTTTTTAAATGAAATTTGTCTCTTTTAAAGATGATTGTTTTATAAATTAAAATACTGTGTGTTTAGCAGAATTTTTTATGATATCAATTATTTTTACAGTAAAGGTTAGAGTTTATTCACTGAATGATGACTTGAAGCCAGCCCAAAGAGAAACTGTTTTAACTTTCATAGTAAGTATTTTATGTAACTAGTACTTATCTCATTTTTCTGGACAAGAATCTCAAGCTTTTCTTCACGACACTCAATTGTTCAATGTTTCATAAATGGTTACTAAAGATCAATTTGGATATAGCTGTGCAGAGCTATACTTCTACAAATAGACATCTGTTAAAAGCTCATTAAAATGAAATTTTGCAACAGGTTGAAGTATTTTGAACTAAATCATGTAAGTACATCCTGGGTGATTTCTTTTTTTAAAGAACACCTTGCAATCAGTAAGAAGTAATTGAATATTTATTATGCACAATATTTTTTATTTGTATAACTTTAGAAAAATAACTATGTAATCTAGAGGCTGAGGCAGGAGAATGGAAAGTTCAAAGCCAGCCTGAACAGCTATATAGACAAAACAGCAAGATGAGGGCTGATATAATTCTTTTCCAGAATGGAATAAGAGAAGGAATCCTTAAACTGGGTCTTAATGAAAAGCATTGATGTAGATTCTTTTAAAATAATGAAGGCCATCTTTCATCCGAAGTAGCATGAGTTAATGTGTGGGAACAGAAAGAGATAATAAATCAGAATCATTTAAAAAATAAGAATAGTAAATAAACTGGCTGACTGATAGAAAGTTTGGAAGAGAACTAAGCCGAGGCAACATTAGGTGGAGTGCTTTTTTTCTATGGGAGAACGTCACCAATGTGGACATAGACCCCTTATCCCTTGTCGCCATGGTTAAATTTGAATGAAGCAGAACCCTGGCATCACAAGCAGAAGGATAGAGGGCAGTCATCCCATGTGACAGCTGTCCCAGGGAGAGAGTTGAGGAAGCTGATCCCAGAGCCACAAGGACTCAGTATGTAGGAAGCATCCTGAAACTCCCCTGAGAAAGGTCATTTTAAAACAGACTGTGTACAGTTGATGGAAGGTAGAGCAGCTAGAAAGAAATTTAGCTACAAGTGTCACTCCTTGTTCAAAATAGGCTCTTTTACATTTTACAATTTGTCATTCAAGTAAAAAAATATCTGAAAATTCCCACCATGAATTTTAAGCTATGGTAAGTGGTGCTAAGTTTTCTAGTTAAGGTTAAATGGGACCACATGTAATTCAAAGAAGGTCAAAACCTCATCTTAATATTTGCTAATCCAGACACACAACGAAGCACATGGAAAACCTTTATGAGCACTTTCAAGTTTGTTTAACCATTTAGACAGTCGTATCAAACTCAGAATGTCTATATGTATCAAATGTCTAACTAAAAAAATACTATTATAGAATAGTTATTTTGGAAAGCTTCAAAGCAGCATATAAAAAAATTAGATTCTGATATTTATAAAGCCTGCTAATTTTACATTAGTCTCATTAAAAACATCCGAGTTATTTAATTGTTGTTGTTTACATCTTGTTACACTTCTTTTTAAAACTTGCACAACAAACAGTCAAACCTCTTTTATATAATGAGGAGAATGGAGGGTGGTTCCAGTCAGAAAGAGGGAAGAGGCTTTAAGTAAACTTTGTCTTCCGTTACATTTAAGCGAAGTTTGTTGTTCTATTTTTAAATTGAAGATGTATTTGTTTATAATAATTTTATAGGTCAACGGTTGTATAATCAATTAATTTTTAAGAAATGTGGCAGGCTTTGAAGGCTGTTATATGGTTTGAATATCCACCTCCCCCAAAAAACCCACTCATATGTTAAAATCTGAACTCCCTATGGTAGTTGTGGAGGTGGGGCCCTGCAGGAGGATGTTTCAACATTATGGATCAACTAAGGGAGCAAATTAGCTGTCTGGGAGTGGCTTTGTCCCGAAGGTGAACTCTCCCAGGGGCTTGCTTGCCCTTCCTCGCTTTATTCAACCATCAGACGAAGCAGGACCAGAGCCCTGCCAGGTGCCACTGCCATCCTTTTGGACCTCCCAGCCTCCAGAGCCAGGCGCCATAATAAACCTCTGCTCTTTATCAGTTACCCACACTCAGTATTCTTTCATAGCAACGAAAACTGAACTAATATAGGGCTGTTTGTTTTTATTCAAAGGATCCTGAAGGATCAGAAGTTGACATAGTAGAAGAAAGAGATTACACTGGAATTATCTCTTTTCCTGACTTCAAGATTCCATCCAATCCAAAGTATGTACAAATAATTTATTAAGAAGTTTTCTACAAAAAGTGTATCTGAAACTTTTGATTGTAAAGCAGATAAGCGGACACATGGAGCCACCCAGTGTTAACAAAGAGTGTCACAAGCATAAATGTGTAAAATCTTTTTAAGCCTAGTAAGAAGGTAGGCTCAGTTTCCGGCCAATCAATCAATAGAAAAAGAAAAACAAATTCCCAATAGTAGATCTGTGCATGAAATGCCTGTATTCCGTTACTTGGGAGCTGAGCCCAGGAGTTTGGGACCAACTTGGGCAACGTAGTAAGATTCTGTCTCCAAAAACAAACAAAACAAAATCCCAATATCTGTCACCTATTCTCTTTGCATATACAAATGAAAATTGGGAAGAAGCAAGAATAATCCCTGGGCTTCTTTTCATTAAAACCATCAACTTCTGCTTCTGAAGAAATCTAACTGACTGTCTGAAATGTTGATCCTTGCTCTGGACGTTAGGAAATAGTTTTAGTTTCTGTGAACTCCCAGAAGGCATGGTCCAAGGGAGAAAATGTTTTCGGGGCCATTTCTTCCACTGCCCTCATGTGAAAGGACTTAAGAGAGTGTTTTAAAAGGATTCGATGTAATATATATTTACTGAACACATCCCTACACCTCTAAAGCACGATAGGAGTGAGAGGTACAAAATGGAGTCAAAGAATCCACAATCCCTGCTTTCCTGGAGCTTAAAGCAGAACAGTTTAGATAAGAACATGACCCTGTAAATGACTACAGTATAATTCAATGCACACTATTTTATGGTCATTTTTCTTCTGATGTCCAGGAGAGAGTTTTCAGTTAATTCATTATACTAAATTTTTCTGAAACTTGGGATTGAAATTGGGGAATATAAATAACTGGAAGAATTTTTAAATTGTGTACTTTAAAAAACAATTCCACATGCTATATCGTACAGACCTGGACCTACTGTTTCACTGCTGCCATCCTTTTCCAACTTCTTTTTGTGCCGCTTGCCCCATGGCAGACTCTGGATCAGCCAGGGAGTCTATCAGGATGAGTACTTTCTCACCTCAGCACCTGCGCACTTGTTGGTCCTCTGCTCGGAATGGGCTTCACCTTGCTCCCCTTATGGGAAATGCTCCCTCTGTACAAAGGCGATTCCGAGATGAGGTCTAGGGCGGCCCCTCACTTGCTGTCACTCTCCATCTCAGCATCTTGTGTGTTTGCTTCCTGACACTTATCTTGATGTAACTGTTTCATAATTTGCTTGCCTTTTTATTTCCCGCACTAGGTTGTAAACTTCTTAAGAGCCAGGGGCTGTCTGTATTGCTCATTATTCTGTTTCAGCACTTTAACATAGTAGGTACTTGGTCAACACTTGTTGAATGATGATGATCATCATCATCATAGTGTTAACATCACTATATTAGAGGGATTAATCTACATGTTAATGATTGGTCCATTAATATGAATGATTTCAAAATAAGAATATCTTAAATCATCAAATAAATACTTTAGGGATTTGTGAACCAGAAGGAAAAGAGCATTGGACTGGCAGTAAAGGTAATGAACATATAAATAATGTTAGTAATTATAATATTAGCATTCATTGACCATACAACCAATCTTCGTGGTAGGTATTATTTTTCTCATTTCACGAATGAGTTGAAATAACTTGCCCAGGTCAAACCTGCTAATAAATGGAAAAATGGGTATTTGAATTCCCATGGACCATTAATTCTATGAAGACCACAATCTTTCTGTCTTGTTCATTTTTTATCTCCACTGCTTAATTTAGTACTCAGCAAGTATTTTCGAATGAAGGCTGTTAAACAAATTATCTCCGTTTTAAAAAACCATACTAAGGCTGGGGGTTTAGCTCAGTGGCACTCCACCTGCCTGGCAAGCACAAGGTCCTGAGTTCGATTCTTGGTGTACTAAAAAAACCAAAAAACAAAAACCATACTACTTTGTCTTCATTCACAATTTCATCTTTGTGAGGCATAAATCTTATCATCTATAGGACATATTTCTAGAAACATTATTATGGATTTTCTACTATATTGTGGACTTCAGTATTATGTTATCACAATTAAACTGCAGGATTAAGTCAATTCTAAAGTTATCAGTTCACACAGTATACGAGAAAATGTAACTACTAAACAATTTCTATTATCCTGAAAATGCTGTATTATTTCTACTACTGCTTAAAATCTCTCACAAGTAAAATATTACTTAGGGTATATCTATTTAAAATAGAAGTTTAGCCAGGTATGGTAGCACACACCTGTAATCCCAGCACTCAGGAGGCTGAGGCAAGAGGATTGGCATGAGTTCAAGGCCAGCCTGGACTACATAATGAGGTCAAGACTGGCCTGAACTATGTAGTGAGACCCCGCTCAACCAATAATAAATAAACAAGTAGGAATTTATTATATTTTTTCTGCATAAATTTAAAAAAATATTGATGACATCTATAATTTTAAATATTTTGTCTTCACAGATATGGTGTGTGGACAATTAAAGCTAAATATAAGGAGGACTTTTCAACAAGTGGAACCGCCTACTTTGAAATCAAAGAATATGGTAATTTCTGACAAGTATAAGTTTGCTTATAGAGAATATTTTTGCAATAATTTCCTTCATGAAGCTGTCTACTGCAAAATCAGTCCCAGATGAAGAGGAAGCAACCTGCTGGTATGGCTGGAAGTACTGGTGAGGGGTGGGGGGGTGTTGGTGGTGGAGGTTTGAATGTTTAAATTCTAGGTCCAGCTGCCACATGCTGACCTTGAGCAAGTGAGCAGCCTCTAAGGACTTGTGTTCCTTGTCAGAGAGCTAGAAGTGATCTAGTCCCCCAAGGAGCTTGACTTATCAAGATCTTTTCTATAATTAGGATTTTAGGAAAAACCATCAGAGATGAGGTGGATGAGGAGTAAGGATGAGTGAGGGGTGAAGTGATTCACAGCAGATTTACAAGCAGTGACAGAACAAAGACAATTGAATTTCCTTCCCCGGGTCCAACCTTATTTTCCTTCTAGCTCACAAATCCCTAATATTATTATGAGTAACTGAAAATTTAGGATATTCTTCTTTTGAAGTCAGTCATATTAAGTAATAATTAGCATATAAATAATCTCTTCCTTGCATGTTCCAGTTTACAATAGTCACTGTGTGCTCTGCTGTCACATTTAACTTTCTTTTTGACTGGAGCCATTTTTATTCACTCAAGAGATTCATAATGACAGGGAGAAGAATAAATACACAAATTTTAACAAATAACCAGGAAAACAGTGGCAAAAATTTGTTATAATGAAACTCAATCTTAAATATAGTAGGCTTGCATAACACATAATTTAAATAACCGCCCTTCCTCCAGTTGCTTTTGTGACTTTCCCTATACATCTGCAGTTCATCCCCCGCTTCTCCCCAGTAGCTGCCTCATCAGTTCATCACCAGGCTCCCTCCTGGGCTGCTGCAAAAGCCTCCTTGTTGGTGTCTCTGCTGCCAAGCTATCTTTCTTGTGTTAGCCAGAATAATCTTGAGATACAAATATCACCATTTTATTTTGTGGTTGAAAAGCTCTACCTTCCTCTGATAATAAAATCAAAGTCCTTATTTTAATCTAGTCCCTGCCAGACTTCTCTTCAGCCTCATTTTATAACCTCACTTGCCGGCAGCACACGATGTCCTCTCTGCCTCCACTTCCCTTTACTCCTTGCTCAGCCAACTTCTCGGGTCTCAGGTCTCTGTTTCAAAGCCACTTATTCAGACCACTTTCCTTGAATTCTCTTTCCTGGGTAAGATCCCCTGGACTTCTTCATGTCGATGTTTGTCATTGTAGTTTAAATGTTGTGTAATTATTCACTTATGCCTCTCTTCAGTTTATGTCTACCTGTTCACTAGTATAGCCCACTTGGTAGGAAGGTATCCAGTAGAAGGATAGAATAATTCCCTGTGCCTCATATCCTGGACAGAACACACCTGCCTTGGTCTTCAATCACATAGGAACACAGCCCAGAGCAACAAAATTGCTTCATTTTTTTACTTCTAGCTTTCACTATTTTAAAACCTATGAGCCCAGTGTGTCAGTCTTTGTCTACAATATCAGGCTCACCCAATCAACTGAGTTTCCATAACTATAAAGTAGGTTATTAGAATCCATAGTCCTTATGCGTGCTCTGAGATAGTGGTACCTTGATTCACGAACTTAATTTGTTCTACAATTTTGGAAAAGATGGCCATGTTTGTATTTGTGTGGGAAAGATGGCCACGGTTGTGTTCGTCACCAGATATAGGCTCTGCAAACATAAACAAAATTTTGCCAAATGCTTGTTTGCCAACCAAATTGTTCATAAACAAAAGTGTTCGTGAGCTGAGGTACCACTGTGTAACATTTCAACAAATTGTTTTCTCTTGGGCCATCAAATACCAAAGATAGAAAAAAACCCACAATTTCTTTTTGCTTAATTTTTAATTCTGCTTTAATATACTTTCTCATATCTTATTTTCAGCTTTCTCTTTTTATTTTTTTATTTTTTATTTTTTCATTTCGGAAAGATTTATTTTTCTGGACATAAAATTCTGGGTTGACAGAAATTTTTTCTCTCCATTTTAAAAATGTTGCTCCATTGACTCTAGTCTTCATTATTTTTTATGAGACGACTGATATCACAAGTACTGCTTCCTTATGTTTAATGTATCATCTTGTCTTTGGCATCATTCAAAAACATTTTTTCCCATCTTTGGTTTTTATTAAACCATGATTTGCCTGCTACAGTTCTCTTTGCTTCTTCACTTTTTTTTTATATTAAATTCTTTTATTGGTACATTGTAGGTATACAACACAATTACATTTCTCATTGGGAATTGTACCTTTACATGATGCATCTTGGTTCTTATTTTTTCCCCATTCCTAGCCCTCCCTTCACCTCCTCCACCCTTCCCTGTTTACAAAGACTTTATTTCCATTTTTTCCATTTCTCATCATTTTTCCTTTCCCTTCTTTCCTTTCCCCTGCCCCTCCCACTACCCCTACCCCTTTGGACCTTTTCTTCCTATTTTACATTATCGATTATTTATTCTAATCATTGGTACATTTTAGGTATACAATATATTGACGTTCATCATTGGAAATTTGCACCTTTACATAGTCTCTCTTGGTTCTTATTTTTCACCCTTGCCCAGCCCTCCCTTCAACCACTCCAGTCCTCCCTATTTACAAAGATTTTGTTCCTATTTTTCCATTTTCTCATATTAATTCCATTCCCTTCTATCCTTTCCCCTAGCCCTCCCACTTCCTTCCCCTTTGTTCCTTTTCTTCGTATTTCACATTACTTATTATACATTTAGTCCTTATTTACACTTTCAGTTTCTCACACCAGAGAAACTATTTGGTATTTACACATGTGTGTCCTATTTATTTCACTTAAGAGTATCGCCTCAGTGTGCATCCACTTAGCTATAAATGTCTCTAATTTCTCATTTTTTATGGCTGAGTAGTACTCCATTTTATTAAAAAACCACATTTTCTTTATCCAGTCTCCAGTTGATGGGCATTTGGGCTGTTTCCAAGTTTTAGCTATTACAAACTGTGCTGCTGTGAACATGGGAGCACATATATCACTGTGGTATGATTCTTTTAATTCTTTGGGGAAGATCCCCAGCAGTGGAATAGCAGGGTCAAATGAGACTTCCAGTCCTAGGTCTTTGAGGTATCTCTATACTGATTTCCACAGTGGTTGCACCAGCCTACACTCCCACCAGCAGTGGAGCAGGGTTCCTCTTTCCCCACAGCCCTGGCAGCATTTGTTGTTGGTTGATTTCATGATAGCAGCCATTCTTTCTGGAGTGAAGTGGAATCTCAGTGTTGTTTTCATTTGCATCTCTCGAAGGACCAGTGATGTTGAACATTTTTTCATATATTTATTTGCTATTTCTACTTCTTTGAGAAATGTCCGTTCATTTCAGATGCCTATTTTTGGATTGGGTCTTTAAATTTGGGAGGTCTGATCTTTTTAAGTTCTTTATAGATGTGCGATAGTAGACCTTTGTCTGAGGAAGAGCAGGTGAGGATTTTTTCCCACATTGTGGGTTGTCTCTTCACACTGTTAGCTTTCTCTTTTTAAAAGTCAATATCAAGATTTTATCCTGGCATTTGGGTGGATTTTTATCTACTAGACAAAAAAAGGAAATGCTAGATTAGCTGGAATTTTTCTTTTCTATCTTCAATTTGACAAATGCTCATTGAACATATACTGTGTTTAAGAATTACAGAAGAGTGAGAGGATGAGATATGCTAGGAAAAATAGAGAATGATCTTTTATTGTTTTTTAAGGTCTCCATACTTTAGTGGAAGAAATAACCTATTGCCTATAGTAAATACAATAATAAAAATATGAGCCAAATGGTGCTGGTGCATGGAGGGGGATTGATTCTGATTGCTGGAGTGAAAAATCTCCTCAGAGGTGATGATGATGATGATGATGATGATGATGATGACGATGATGATGATGATGATAAGGTGGATGGCGTGTTGATGCTACAGCTTGTCCAACTATTTCAGAGAAAAGTACCCATTTGCTGAATTTTAAAGACTACTCTAATTTAAATGGTAATATTGCCTCTTTGTTTCTATTTTCAGTCTTGCCACATTTTTCCATTTCAATAGAACCAGAAAGTAATTTCATTGGTTACAAGAACTTTAAGAATTTTGAAATTACTATAAAAGCAAGGTAGGAAAGTTTTGTTTTGTTTTTCAGATTAACCAGCTAAGTTAGTGATGGTTGCCCAAAGTGAGATCTATGATTTATTAGCAAAATCTGCCATGACTTTGGAACCATGATTGAGAAGACTTCATGCTATACTGTAGTTTATGTCCTTATTCTGATCTTAGCTAATTCTGATTTTAGCTTTGTTGGTTATTCGCCAGTAAAAAAAATCCTGAAGTGGCCAGGGATTTAGCTCAGTGGTTCCAGCATCTGCCTCACAAGCACAAGGTCCCAAGTACTCAGTGTGTATGTTTAGAAACCAGCATAACTTAGAATATTGAGACTAAACTATGAACCCTTTGCTTCTTTTCATTTTTTAATGCCTTAATCAGCCAGCAAATGCTGTGTAACTATTTCAAATCCTAAAGCTTTAAAAATCACAATCATTTATGAGTTAACTGGGGAGTTCTACTGATTTATGCCAGTCTGATAACAGCTGGGAGCCCCCATGAACCTGCAGTCAATAGACAGATCTGCTGGGGAGGCTTATCTAAGAGGGTCTTACTCACATGTGTGGCAATGGCTGGCAGTTGACAGGGATTGAGTGACGGAACTGTGTCTATCTCATCACCTAGTGGACTATCCCATAGCAGCAGCAATGTTAGGGGGAGGGATGAATTAAACTCTCCTTGAGGCCTTGGTACTGACACACCATTCCTTCCACCATATTCTTTTGTCCAAAGCAAATTGCAAGGTCAGCCCAAAGTAGACTCCTCTCATACCTTTTGCATGCAATAAATTGCAAAGGTTGTGGGTACATGAAAAGTTAGACAATTGGGGTTAATTTTTTAACCAAACTGTCACAAAAGCTTAGGCCATTAAAAATGACCATATAATGTAGCTGTTAATAATCAATTTATGCAGTTGCATTTTTAAGAACTCTGTATATATTAGCACATTTAATCTTTACAACTCTATGAGGTAAATATTATGACTATCCCTATAAAACAAGTGAAAACACTGAGTTACATGAACTTTACTTTTTTTTCGGTACCGGGGATCAAACTTGGGTCCTTGCGCTTGCACAGCAGGTGGCGAAACCACCGAGCTAAATCCCCAGCCCAACTTTACATTTTTTGTTCAAGATGTCACAGGTAGGAAGCAGCCCAGCCTGTCTGCTCATAAAGTCCATGCCCTCAAATGCTACCTTATTCTTCCATTTTTGTAAGCATTTATTCTGCAAATGGGGTGTTTGTCATTTAGTCTACACCAGCATAAAAGGCTCACTTGAAAGAAAATGATAGAAACTGATGTCTTAGAATGGAGACAATTTATTTGTTCAACCTATTAGGAAGAAAAATTAGCTTTTGTTAGAGTATTATTTGTTATGCAGAAAGTTTACTTTGTTCTAAATGAAAAAGGAAATATGCAGTTCAGATTTTCTTTTTCAGAAGAACTAATCTCATGTAACAGTGAGATCAGGCATGCTCCTTTTGAAGACATAAAAGATAACAGGGAGTAGGTCTCCACTGATACCAGAATCATCTAGGAAGCAGTGTTGGCTGGAGGAAAGAGCCCTGGAGCTGTGTCTTTTCATCTTCCCAAGATCACCTCTTTCACCTCCCACATACTAATAAAAATCCATACTCTAACTTTCTTATTGTGGCTTTATCAGGAGGAAATGAAATAGTGGCTGAAGTATACAAGGTCCTTTAAGTAAATTCAAATTGTCACATTTTATCTGAATCTTATGATCGCTCCCATGTCAGCAAAATGATGTGATGGTATTGTTTGACAGATATTTTTACAATAAAGTAGTCACTGAGGCTGAAGTTTATGTCTTTTTTGGAATAAGAGAAGATATAAAAGATGATCGAAAAGAAATGATGCAAAAAGCAATGCAAAACAAAATGGTAAGATGTTAAGCCCTAAGATGATGGGAGGATGTGAAGTTACCTCAAACTCTCTAATTCAATGCTTCATTCTATAAAAATATGAAGTTGAAGGTTAAAATCTACTGGTTTCCCATTTCTTTCCCTTAGGATAAAGGCCACTTTCTTTGACATTAGTCTCCCTTGCCAACTTAGGTTATGCTATTTCCTCTCATCCTGTCTTTTGTTCTAATATTACACTCCAGGTTCTCAAACTCACCATAGCTTGTCTTCCTCCAGGTCTTTGTTCTTTCTCTCTGTCCCCTCCTGCCTCTTCTCTGCCTGATTAATTCCTTTTCACTCTTTAAGTTTCCATGTTGACACCTTTTCTCTGGAACACCTTCCTGATCCTCTGAACGAGGTTAGCTGCCCCAGCTAAGCATTCCATAGGCCTCAAGACTCTCTTTATTAGTGTGTGTTCCCCATTTTCTTGTAGTGGTTGTTACCCAGGGGTGATTTTTACCCCCAAGGGGACATTTGGCAATGTCCAGAGCAATTTTGTGCATGTCACAACTGGGGAAGAAGATGCTACTGGGATTTAATGAGTAGAGGCAGGATTGTGGCTAAACTGTTACCATGCACAGAGCACCTCTTCACACACAAGGAATTACTCTGTTCAAAATGTCAGGAATGCAAAAAGTGAGCAACCCTTCTTTATTGAAATTGCTTGTTTTCTTACTTATCATTTTGACCTTAAACTCTTTCCCATTGTAAATCATTTTAATTATACACCCAGAGGAAGCGTATTTCCGCCCAAAGAGTAGATGTTCCATAAGTGTTTGTAAAGTTGGTTGTCCATGGTTAAGGGCAAGTGGCTGCTGTAACTGAGATCAGAGCCCGAGTCCCTGCCTCCTTTATTTACGTTATACCATAGATGATATGGGTTCATATCATTTTTGCTCACTTTTGCATATTCCTGTATTTTGTCGTCAATTTATTTGCTCTCTGCTTTTTAAAAAGACAGCCATATTTACTGATGACATAAGTTAAAGGTCTTTTTTACATGCAAGATCCTACTCTGGACACTGAGATTTAAAGCTAAATCAGGACTGGGGGTATATGGTTCAGTGGTGGGGGCAGGTGTGGTATGTGTGAGGCTGTGAGTTCAATCCCAGCACCAAAAATGTCAAAATCAACAAAAAAAACTGAATAAGCTAAATCAGGGGCCAAAGGGCCTGGCCTTAAGTTCAACAGTTTTAGAGTGAAAATAAAACAAAAATCTATTTTTAATAATTTAACTATATGATATTCCTTAGCATTATACCCCTTTACTTCCTGTAAATTAAATTAGTGTTTTAATTTGTAAACAATGAAGCACAAATTAAATATAAAATCCAATAAACTCTTAGTTGAGGTTGGAAGTAGCATGAGAGTCCCACAAAGGTTGATGATCCATGGGGAATTGGAAGAAGCCTCTTTGTCAGCGGGTACCAGAGACCCGATGAACCATGTGATGCTCAAGACTCTTCTACATCTAAAATTTTATATAAATAAGTTAGAAAACAACACCCTGGGCTTCAGTGTGGACTTGTCAGCCACTTCACTGGTGACGCTAAACCAGTCCTCTGACATTTGCCCTCAATTTAGAGGCTAGTCAAAGCTAGTTTTTTTTTTTCTTATATGTTCTTCTCTAAAGTAACTCTTCCATTTTCCCTTTAAAAAGCTGATAAATGGAATTGCACAAGTCACATTTGATTCCGAAACAGCAATTAAAGAACTGTCATATAACAGTCTAGAAGATTTAAATGACAAGTACCTTTACATTGCTGTAACAGTTGCAGAGGCTACAGGTAAGTTGTATGTGCATGCGTGTGTGTGTGTGTTTAACTTTTAAGAAATATTTGACAGCATATTAATGGTGTAAATGATTCCTAGTTTTTTTCATATTTTTATTCATAGTTAAATGCTACTTTTTATATCATTAAAAACTTGGATAAGAGCAGAGCTCTGCCACTATGTAGCCACTGGTCAGGCAACTGGGTTCTTATCTGAACTACAAAAAATGGGACAACAGTGCCCAGTTAACATCCCAAGTGGCTCTGCAGCTGTCTGCTTCGACCATCTGTCACCCTGGTGCTCTCACATGAACAGAATCAAAATCAAAATGAGATTATCTACATAAAAATGTCTGAAATAATACTATGCAAAAGTAGGCTACTGCTCTTATCATTATTCTGGTCTCCTTATCTGTGCAATGCTGGAGTTGAACTAAATGCTATCTAAAGTCCTTTTTAGATGTAAAATTCAAGAATTCTATCTAAAATCAGGTAATAATGTTTCTAAAGTGAGCACAATAATAGTCTGTAACTGCTAGGGTTATGGTGTGGATCAAAGAGTGAAAAATATACAAAACTCTTAAACAGTACCTGTCGCACATAGTGACTGCTGTGTATTGGCCAATCTCTTCCTCTTTTCTTCTTCCTCATCTTCCCTTCTCTTTCCCAAGGGTCCACCTACTACTTTGTTAGCATACTTAAGCCCATCTAGTGGTCTAAAACTCATGCCAATGGTTTTTAATAGTTATTAATTATTGCTGCAAGCCAGATCAATTTTCTTACTCCTAGTATATCTTGACTACTAATATTATATTTTCAGGTTTATATTGAACCCCCAACTAACTTTGAGTACATAATTTAATGATGCTGATTTCAATTTTCTTTGTAAAGTAACAGATGGTTCCTGAAACCCCTTTCACTCCCTTAAATTTGTCCTTTTAGGGTAGCAGAATGAGGAATGGGGAATAATTATCCAGTTACTGAGCACCTTGCATAAACCAGATGCCGCAGGTGCTGGAGAGTGATGGCAACTCCCTGCTAGCTATTGTTTTCAGCATTATTTTAATATTTCTTTCTTTCTTTTGTTCAACTTATTTCAAATAAATTCAGCTTAAGCAATATTTATGAGATTTTTCAGAGTTTACACAGGCTTTTTCACAGCCTTACAAATATGAATGATCCCAGCACACGAGTGGCTTACGAACTAGCATCAGTTTTAAGGCAATAGACAAGGAACCCTGTTCTTGAAGCAAGTGCTTAACGCTATTGCTCTTCAGAGAAGGGCAAGCTTCTGATTTTTGATGTCGAATAGCCAAGAATGGTGTTGCAAAGATGGTCAGTGAAAGAGACTTTGGAGGCAGGGATAGTACACAGGGTGAAGCAGGGCTCCCTCTACACCCAGAAGGAAGGACATTGAACTTTGGTCTTTGAGAAGAGCAGTTTCACGGCAGTACAGGACATGTATAGGAAATGTTGTGAATGTAATACTGAGAAGGAGTTTGGGGATACTAGAGCTTCATATGTTATTCTTAATGTTTACCTTGATTTTCAGCCATAGGATTGCACTATTGTGATTTCTCTCATGGACTCTTAGAGTTCTCTCTTTATCAAGCTCTCCTGATTGTTCTCCATTTCTCTCCACATCCCTGAAACCTATCTGTGAAGATATATAAGGCTCAGGCTCTGGCCTAGCTACCCATTCTTCTCCTCACTCTTGAACATATGTCTATGGAGACATAGATTCAATGTAGATACTGGGCACATCATCAGACTTCTAAAAATGTTAACACAATGCTCTTTGTTTCTGTAGGTGGATTTTCTGAAGAGGCAGAAATACCTGGCATTAAATATGTCCTCTCCCCCTACACACTGAATTTGGTTGCTACTCCTCTTTTCTTGAAGCCTGGGATTCCATATTCCATCAAGGTATGGGGATGGGAGGTGGGGGGAGAATGCTGAATTTGTTGGTCTTTTTCTGTATATTGAAAACCTGGAGATAGCAAATGGGAGAAAGGTGCTGGAGAGGCAATCACAGAAGAAACTCTTTACTGGAGAGGCCTGCCCTCCTGGGGATGTGGGCAGGCCAGCTGCAGCCTTCCAAGTGATCTGTACCCTTATGGCACATACTAGTATTCAGTAAGATACCTTTGTATTAGGCATTCCCATTGAATTATGTGTAAGTAAAACCTCACATGTCCACAATGCAAAAACTACTAACATTTAAAATTATTTGGTAGCAAGCAGTCATAAGCTAGAGTCACCACTTCTTAAAAGTAGACTTCTTTCTCACTATTTTTTTTAACCTCTGCAGTATCTCTGAGGATGCATTTCTGTGTTTTTCTGCTTTGTCTCTGTATTGTTTGTGCAGAACTCTGGGCTCTTGTCTGTCTCTTTGGCTCTCTGTCATTTCCATTTTGATTCTTTCTGTCCCTGACACTCCTTTTATACCTTTTTTTGTTTCCTTTTTCCTCTTCAATTGTTATCTACCCCTCTACTTTTGATTTAAAACATCCATTAAATTTATTACATTTTAATATTAATTATCGTATTAAGTATTTTATTATAAATTATATTACATATTACATTTTATTGCACTTATGATGTGGAAATTTGTATTCCCTGCCCTTAGTTCAGAAAGCCTAGAAATTTATGGTTATTTTTTATTCTTTGAAAACATGTTACTTTAAAAATTCAGCTTAAGTATATAGTCAGCTCTCTATGTTCCATAGTTTCTGTATCTGTGGATTTTGCCACCATGTATTGAATGTGTACAGATTTTTTTCTTGTAATTATTCCCTAAATGATATAAAAACCAGCTATTTATATAACATTTGTATCATGTTAGTTATTGTAAGTAATCTAGAGATGATTTAATGTGTAAGGGAGAATATGCACAGATTATATTCAAATATCATGCCATTTATATAAGGGATTTGACCACCTGTGGCTATTGGTATTTAGGGGGGCCCTGGAGCTGATTCCCCATGGATACTGAGGGATGACTGTAGTTAATATATGTCATTTATTATTTACAGTGGATCCTTGAGTTTTAAGAGAAAAAGATTTACCAAGCACAAAATAAGCTTGGGATATGCTTTTAATTTTTTACATACTTATATATGCATACAAAAATATAATATATATAATGTATCTAGTATCATATAATGCATATGGTAATCTATAATATAATATATAAATGTATAATACATAATAATGTACATAAAGTTGAAATATCTTTTATATAATTTTATATCACATCTAAAATATATATAAAAGACATCTTTGTGGAAATTATATGTATTACATATCAATTATATATATGCAGGGTGAGAGGTAAAGGTTAAAAAAGAAGATATATCTATTTATTGTTTCTCACATGAAAAAGAATCATTACCATAAGCGATTGCTTCATTTTCTCCTTTACTCCATGCTAAGACAATTAAAGAAACACAGATGTTAGGCCGTAGAAGATCTTGTCACATCTCATTGGCTGACAGAATAATATTTATGTCTGATTTATATATCATTTTTATATCATTTAAGAATGATTAAACTAAATAGAATCGAATCTTTCTACAAGTGGACAACACACATCCATTCATATATGTATATTTATATATATATTCATATACAATGAATTATATTTTGCTGCCAAGGAAGGAAAACTACTTCAGAGCTGTTATGCTCTAAAAGACCTGAAGAACTGTTGAAATGGATTTGCATTGTTCTGCAAACAGGTACAAGTTAAGGATTCACTTGACCAACTGGTAGGAGGGGTCCCAGTCATTCTGAATGCACAAACAGTCACTGCAAACCAAGAGACATCTGACTTGGAACCCAAGAAAAGTATAACAAGTCTCAGTGATGGAGTGGCTTCATTTGTGGTTAACCTCCCATCTGGAGTGACGGCGCTGGAGTTTCAAGTGAGCTGAATTCTCCTGCTGTATTTTCTAGGACGATGTGTACTCTTGACTGTACGTTTTGGCTAGTGTGCAGAACAGATGTGGCAGAGTTTATAAGTGACTCCAGTGAACTGTTCCACAATCTTACATTTAAAATAATGAGTACCAGAGAAAATCTGCTAATCTACTGAATGACCTGTAAGGAAGACAAATCTATCAATTTTTGTTTGGGAGTTAAGTATTTTCTCTTACACCAATAAGACTGTATTAGAATTTGAAAGCTTCAGATTAAATATAACTGAGGACAGTGGTAGGAATACCTCCCCATTCACACACACTTTTCAGGACCACAAGAGGGTCAAATGTGGAACCCTACCTTTTTTCCCAATGCACAAACCACTTTACCTTAAAGCTTACTTAATTGTCTTCTCTCCCAGCATCCAATTTCAAGTAAAACGTAAGTAAGTTAATAATGCAGGTCAGTGACTACAGCATGCATATATTTACTATCATCTGCCAAGAACTTACTAAATAAATACTTAGGCACTGTGCCATGAGCTTTATCAGGAACACATTTAATACCCACTTAATCAGCAATATGAGTTACAGAATATTACCTTTGCCCTTCTGTGGCTGAAGAGACTGAGGCTTCTGACCTCTCTTTTGATGAAATAACTTATTCAGACAATAAGGGTTGGCATTAAAATGCAAACCAATGCATATCTGACTCCAGACCATGGGCTAATAATCTTTCTGCTTCTAAGAAGCAGGTATTATTCTCACATTGTCAATATCTGCCCACCCTGTGTTTATACATATTCCTCTGTGTTGCCACTTCACAATGAAACTGGGCTGGATAGTCCCCATGATGTTCAATCATAACTCCTTTGCTTCAAGAGTTAGAACTACCCCCTCACCACTACCCTCAATTTCTGCATCTCATCCCCTAGGAAGGGAACATCCAGTGATGTTTCAGAAAAAGTGCCACCTTTTGTTTCTGGACTGTCCTTTTCTCTTCATCAGGATTCCCAACCATAGCCCATAATCCTCAATATTTTCCATAGTTTTGTAACCTTACTTGATACCACAGCTGTACAAACACTGAAGTGATGCAGTGGGGATTTTTGGTCTTTAACATTTTATATTGTAATATTTAGAAATTTGTAAGGCAGAGAATTTAAACAATATGTTTTACAAAAAGTGTTACTCACAATCCAGGTATGCTTTTGAAAATTTCCCTCCCAGGTGCAAACTGATGCCCCAGACCTTCCAGAAGAAAATCAGGCCCAGAAAGATTACCAAGCTATGGCATACTCGTCTGTCAGTGAAAGTTACCTTTATATTGACTGGACTGAAAACTACAAAGCTTTGCTTGTAGGAGAACATCTGAATATCATTGTTACTCCTAAAAGTCCATATATTGACAAAATAACTCATTATAATTACTTGGTAAGTCCAATAATAATAGAGTTACATCTTACCGTTCATTGTTCCTTTGCTTTTTAGACAAATATTAGAATGATTCCTTACATTTGTATTTATAAAAAACTTTCAAGGGCATTATCTATTTGAATACCAGCTTTCCAAAATTGAGGAAAGGCATGATTTTTATAGCCACTTTTCACAAATGAGGAAACTGAGGGACAAAGAAGTTTCAGGACTCACCAGGATCAGTTAATTCAGAAGATTTTGATTTGAACTGAGGACCTTTCACCCTTGATCTAATAACTTCTTCCACCAAAGAGAGCCTGATTGACTCACACTACCTCTGCTGTGTTACATGGCCAAAGATTATATGGTTACATCTAGTTCAAATATTTGTATTTCATTGGCATAAAAGCAGGAACCCAAATCCTGCTCTAAAGAACTGGGTCATACCATACCTATTCCAATTTTACAGTCAGCAACACTTACATTAAACAGAAGGTAGATGAATCAAACCTGTTGGCGAATCTTAGGAAAGAATGTGCAAATAATATCAAGAGCTTCCTGCCACATGCCAAAGCAGTGGAATGAATTATTCCAATGGCCAGACCAAACAGGTGGTGATGGTTTTTTCCACATTTTTGAGGAAAAAAATTGAAAAAAAAAATGTGGACCATAGAAAAATACTGACTGATGAAAAGTAGAGAAACTATGGACTCTATACAAAACCATGTATGCAGTCCTGCTCTCTAAGGACAATTTAAGGGAGCTTTGAAGACACTTTGGCTTCATGTGATTTTATTTTAACCTTAAACTTGTAAGTTAGAATTTAATCCATGGCTTTAAAACTTAATTCCCAAATAACATGATCTACTTACTCATCTATTTTTTTATAAATCTGCAAAACTAAGGAGGTGTTAATGACAGTGTGTGACTTTAAACATGAATTGGTTCAAATTTTAGCTCTTTAACTTCCTACTTACATGATTTTGAACTAAAATCAGTATGACTTTGAGTTCCTGAGCCTTAGTTTCTTCGGTGGAGGCAAATATTTCTATCCCACTAGTGTCTTGCGAGAATAAATAAATGTTAAAATTCCTGGCAAATATTAGGAACAAATATACATGTTAACTTTATTTTTCTTTTACATAATTGTTGCCCCAGCTCCTAGCTTCATCCTGAAGCACAGGTTTTGTTTATGTACTTATTGTTGCTTCCACTATTTATTTTTAGATTTTATCCAAGGGCAAAATCGTACACTTTGGCACCAGGGAGAAACTTCCAGATTCATCTTATCAAAGTATAAACATTCCAGTGACACAGAATATGGTCCCCTCAGCCCGACTCCTGGTCTATTACATTGTTACAGGAGAGCAGAGAGCAGAATTAGTATCTGATTCGGTCTGGTTGAATATCGAAGAAAAGTGTGGCAACCAGCTGCAGGTGAGACACAAATTGTACATCACAACTGAATTTTCTTCTAAATGAAGGAGGCTGTCAGAGGAGCTGCTTCTGAACAGTCTTGTCTCATATGAATCTTTTCTGTTTCAATTGACTTATTAGGTTCATCTGTCTCCAGATGCAGTTGCTTATTCTCCAGGCCAAACTGTGTCTCTGAACATGGAAACCGAGTCAGCCTCATGGGTAGCACTATCAGCCGTGGACAGTGCTGTGTATGGAGTCCAAGGAAAAGCCAAAAAGCCCATGCAAAGAGTTAAGTTGTGCAGTCCTGCAGTTGCTGTGGAGTGGGGTGGCTCAGGACAATGCTTCACAAAGTGTGGCCACCAGCACAGGTTATTGGTGAAGAATTAAGATAACACTCACTTAATTTTCTATAACGTGCTCAGTTTAGCGATTTGGGGAAGGGAAGCAATCTCCTGTTAGTTCCTACAGCACAGGTCAACTCATTTTTGTTTTCTCCAAATATAGATTTAAGCTCTTAAAAACATAGGACTATGCTAGCAATGGGTCAAAAGTGTCATTGTTTAGGAGAATTTAAGCATTTGAGACAGGTGGTGGTAACAGTTATAGAGGCAGCAAAAGAGAAGACAGGGCAGACTGGATAGGATATCTATGAGTTTGTTTAAATTCTTTATTAAAATTTGTGGTGCTGGGGCGGGGATTTAACTCAGTGGTTCCCCCGCCTGCCTTGTAAGCACAAGGTCCTGAGTTCGATCCCCGGCACCAAAAAAAAAATCTGTGGTGCTAAAGAATTTGAAAATTATTCAGTTTCCTCAGTGGCCATTTATTTCCACTACACTCAGCTACTTTTTTCTAGACTTGCATTTTCTTTGACCAAGGAAAAGAGAACTGAGAAACTGTAATAGTGAAAACATTCAGAGAGGAAAGGATATTGGGGTCAAAATTAAAACTGAAAGAAGCCCTGTATAAAAGTACTCTCCCACTAAGAACTTATAGAGTTCTCCCCTAAAAACATAAGAGATTGTGCTCTCTTTTTATTTGCCAACTTAAAATTTAATTTTTAAATTCACTCTTTTATGCTTTCACTCATTTATTTATTCATTCATTTATTACATTGATTGCAGCATGTATTCTATGTACAAACTACTACAGGTATATTAGTTTTCTCACTGCTAGCACAAAAAATCTGACACACACAACTTAAAGGTGAAAAGGGTTATTTTGGCTCATAGTTTCAGAGGTTTCAGTCCATGTCCACCTTGCTCCAAGACAGAAGCATCATGGCAGAAAGGGTTGGCAGAGAGAAGCTGCTCAACTCATGGCATCCTAAAAGCAGAGAGCAGGAGAAAAGCCTGAGAGAAAGGGGCCAGGGACCAGGTATGTTTCCCAGGATCACACCCCGTGACCCACAGAGACACAGCCAGAAGTGTGCTTTTCTTGTCTCTTAGGCACCTCTCAAGGCAACCAGGTTGACCGTCAAGGTTAATAGGCCAGTTTCTGAGAATTTGCTTCTCAATGATGTTGCTTAAAATTTAAATTAAATTAAAATTTAGTTTTGATTTAATTTTGAGTAGGTATGTTTTTATAACTACAAAAGACAAACTAAAGGCATGAAGTTGGGAAATTTGGTCTTTGATCAGTCGATAAATGAATGCCCTGTGTATTTCACAGGCTTGTGATAACCATGTAATGTTCAGTACCTTGAGCTCTGTGGAGAAATACTTTCACAATATTTGAATAAGCTTAACATTTTGCTTTTCTGGACAGGTGTTTCAAGCTTTGGAAAAGAGTGACCTGGGCTGTGGGGCAGGTGGTGGCCGTGACAGCGCTGATGTATTCCATCTAGCTGGACTCACCTTCATCACCAATGCAAATGCAGATGAGTCCCAAGAAAATGGTAAAGCACTCAACTTTTTATTATTTTATATTTATTAGTACATGTTTGAGGTACACGATTCAGTTCACTTTACACTGATCATCTGCCTTCTGGACCTCATTTTTTCCCTCTTCCAGAATATTCTCTACACTGATCTTAGAATTCTATGATAGTGTAACTCCCCTGTAAAACTTATTTTATTGACCTTAAAGATAAAGTACAAATTCTTTAATGCAGTACTTGGACCCTTCATGATCTTCTCCCTGGCTCTTTCCAATTATTTCTCACTGCTCTTTCTTACACTTCTGTAGTTCTTGGATGGCCCTTTTACTCCTTTGGGCCATTACATATCATGACTGCTTTCTCCTTTGTTATCCTGGAGAAGCTAGGATAAGAATTGTCTCCTCTATGAGGCCTCTTTCCCATACAGCATTGATCATTGTCCCCATCCCTCTAAAAGGGAGGTTACTGTAGGGACCAAATCGATTCATAACAGCAGTGCATTATTGCATGAATTATTGCACATTCTTTACACCTAGTTTTCGGTCTTGACTCATACCTAGCACTGGGAGCTCTTCAAAGGCAAGGATCACATCTTTTTTTTTTTTTTTTTTGACACCGGGGATCGAGCTCAGGACCTTGCACTTGCAAGGCAGGTGGCAGCACCACTGAGCTAAATCCCCAGCCCTACATTTTAATCACTTTCTTGCTGTGATTTTAAAATTCTTCCTAATTATACATGATACTATGGTATTCATGTTTTTATCTATAACAATATAGCTCAAAGAGCAAGTAAGAGAAATAGATTACCCAAAACTTTGCTCACTACAAATGTTTAGGTATTTCTCTGGAATCAAAGGATCAAAAAGGTTGCAGGATTCAGACCCAAATTCAAATAAAACAAATCAAACTATATGACACTAGACCATGAGCTCCACTATGACAAAACAAGTCATAGTAGCATGTATAGTAGAGAACGCCTAATCTGAAACAGCTTCTTAATATGGACTTGTTTAAATACTCAGTTTCATGGAACTTTTTTAGATTTTATTTCCTTTTTTTTTAAACTTTGTCTTTTTTAAAAAAACAGATAAGCCTTGTAAAGAAATTCTCAGGCCAAGAAGAACTCTGCAAGAGAAAATACAAGAACAAGGTACTCTATATAATTTCCCCTAATTCAAATAGGTGAGAAGAAAGATATGTGTGGAGCTCTAGCTCGGCTCCCTCAGAAAGATTAAACCAAATAAACACAGTAGTTCACTCACCATAGACTTAATCTGAGGTAAATAACTCTTTATTATGTCTACCTCTAAAATCTAAAATAGTGACTTTTATTTGCCACAAATACTTCCTCTCTACAAACTACATGTAATAATTAAAATAATATTCTTCCATTCCATTCTGACAAAACCTATGATTTAATTAACTTTGAGAAATACTAGAAATCGATTTCTTCTATTTACTATATTTAACATTTAATAGCATTACAGACTATTCTTTGGAAATAAATCTAATGCAAATTATTTAAGTTATTGATGATTGACCAATAGAAAAGAGCACCAAATCTGGGAACTTGTGTCCTGAGTTCAGAGTAATCATGCTTATAGAAATATAAAACTTCTTCCATTTGGATAGGAATTATTGGAATTATAAACTTCATTCTATGCTCTCCTGAGATGAAAAGGGAGAGACTGATTAATCTGAGCACTTACAATGAAGAATGATAGCACTAGCAAAGGTCTACAAACTGTCTTGTAAGAAAAGTTTGGGGCCGGGGATTTAGCTCAGTGGTTCCACTGCCTGCCTCGCAAGCTAAGGACCCAAGTTCGATCCCCGGTACCAAAAAAAAAAAAAAAAGAAAAGAAAAGTTTGGGAAAAAAATAGAATATTTATCATACAGAAGGAAAGTCCATGTAGTAATAAGAGGCATCTTCAAATTTTTGAAAGCTTCTTGGACATTTACTTTACTCAAAGGATTCTGAACCTAAAGTGTCAGTATTTAGTATTTACCTTAGTTGTAAGAAGCCCTTTATCATTTAGGGTAAATTGGAATGGAGTACATGATGAGGTCATATTCTTCCTGTTCTTAGAGTAGTTCTAAGAAGAAGCTGGTCATTGTAGATAAGGGCATTGTTTGTCGGTAGAAACCGAGTATCTTTTGTGATTTCTTCTAAGTCTGAGATATTATGACTTTATGCATGAGCTAGCCACATGTATTACCCTTTCAGCTGCTAAATACAAACATCCGGTGCCCAGGAGATGTTGTTATGATGGAGCCCGTCGAAATGACGATGAAAACTGTGAGGAGAGAGTTGCACGGGTTACCATAGGGCCACGCTGTATCCAAGCTTTCAATGAATGTTGTATCCTTGCAAACAAGATCCGAGCTGAAAGCTCTCATAAACCCATCCAGTTGGGAAGGCTACGTAAGTGTAACATTTTCTATCAGACTTCTGCCCAACATGAAGGATTTTGTTCAATTGCTGCTAAGAAATGCAGTTTTTATGTTCTAGTTAAAACTAAAAGTAGAGGGACCAGGGCTTTAGCTCAGGGGTTCCACCGCCTGCCTCGCAAACGCAAGGACCCAAGTTAGATTCCCCGTACCCCCCACCCCCCAAAAACAATTGAAAGTAGAATATAAATGCCCATAAGAAAAATCTCTTAGCGTTTGGGGGTATTTGAAGGGAAATTTGCAGAGGCTACTACCCCAGAGTCAAGACCCAGTATGAAACCAAATTCATTCTATAAACTTGAATGAATATTTATCCTCTCTGAGCCTCAAGCAAGAAGTTTAGACCAGACATCTCCAGAGCACCTTTGAGTTACAGTGTGCTAAGGTTCTGTGATATTACAACCATTAAAAATTCTGTTTATATCCATTCTACCTAAATACAGCAAAAGACTTCTAAATCTACCATAAGATTGAGTGTACTTATTACAAAAGTTAAAATCTTGTTTCAATTTTAGCCACAGTATGTTTTCAGAGCTTAGAGAACTCTCACTAATACATTTTCAGAACATTTAGGACTTATCTTTTGTTTGTTTAGGAAAATAAGTAAAAGCAGCTAACCTTTAAAAAAAGAAACAAAAGCAAAATAAGAGCTCCTATTTTTACTCTGATCGTTTGGATAAACCATGCATGTTAAACATTCTCCCCAAAATGGATGAATGGATAAAGAAAATGTGGTATTTACACACAGTGGTGTACTAGTCTTCCATAAAGAAAGATAAAACTTGAGTCATTAGTGGGGAAATGGATCCACCTTGAGACCATAACATTAAGTGAAATAAATCAGACACACAATCTTAAATATTGCATGGCTTCTCTTATATAAGAAACCCAAAATATAAATAGAGAGCAAAATAAAAGATAGGTAATAAGAAGTAGGGAGACAGATGTTTCTCAAATAGGAAGAGGATCTAGAGATGGAGGGAGGAGGGGGAGAGAAAGGAGATGAAAAAAAGAATTAAAATTTTATGTACATGGATCAACTCCACACAAGGAAGGTAAAACATTATGTACTGCTAATATGTATTAATAAAAAAGTACAAACTAAAAAATGGATAGATTCGTCCAAGCCTAAATGTTATTACAAATATTTGTTATTTCCCAGTTTTTTTTTAAATATGGACTCTTCATGAATTTGTATGTCATCCTTGCACAGGGGCTATGCTAATATTTTCTGTATCATTCCAATTTTAGCATATGTGCTGCCAAAGCAAGCACTTGTTTCCCAGTTTTTATTTAGTACAAGCCGCATTTTGATGAACAGTGTAGTGCGTATAGGTTTTCATTGCCCATTTTTTCAAATAAAATCATCTGATTAGTTTCAGCTGCCTAGTGCTTCTCTCTGGTAACCCTTCCCTTCATTCTAAACAGTGTGGTCTCCCAAACTCCCATCTGTGCTGCCAGAAGTCAACACTACCAGGCTCTCTGTAGACTGTTCTCCCTGCTGTGACCTGTAAACTACCCCAGGCAGTAAACTGGGACAATTTTAGGGCTCCCCTGTCTCTGGGATCACAGTCTTGTGTCACTTATGCTCCAACGTCTGAAAATTAGTTTTGTTTTATTTTTTTCTTTTCTGGCACTGGAGATTGAACCCGTGACCTTGTGTGTTCTAAGCAAATGCTCTGTACTGAACTTTATCCTGAGCCCAAGTAGCTGAGATTCCTGGTGTGCACTACTGCATTCAACCTAAAACCTCTTGTTTTATAGAATGTGTCTCATTTTCTAGGGTTTTTTAAGGCTAAGGGTTAAATGCACTCATAAACCCTATGAGTGCATCTTATGTGGAGGCAGATTTTATTTATTTATTTTTGCGATATAGGGGATCAAACTCAGGACCTTGTGCTTATGAGGCAGGCGTGGCCCCACTGAGCTAAATCCCTGGCCTGAAAGCAGAATTTCTTTCCATTTCTATTAAAGTAAATATAAATAAATGATCCATTTAAATCAGGGTATCAAAACTTCCTTGTTTTCTAATATAAATACAATTATTAAAATTCTAGAAGTGCAGATAATTCCACAGACTGGCTAGTATCTTGTAGAACCTCAGAAATACTAAAAATTCAAATTTAAGAAACAAATCATTTTATATATTTTATGCTTTGTTTCACCAGTGCTATTAGTAAAGAAATCCTAAGGTCTTTATAGTTCTATTTTGAAATCAATGAACACAATGTTTTGTCGACCTTTCAGAAAACATTTAAGTTATAGATTAATTGCTATATTTAAAATTTCATACATAGGTACATTTTATATTATTTTTCCATAATTGAATATGTTTTCTTTTTCCAGATATAAAGACTCTACTACCAGTAACCAAGCCAGAAATTCGGAGCTACTTTCCAGAGAGCTGGTTATGGGAAGTTCACCATGTTCCCAAAAGGTAATTATACGTCTTTGATGTTCCTCTAAAATAAAATGTGGAAAATGCAACTATGGCCAAAAACCTGGACACCACTCATTTCTCCATAGTTTGCTTAAGAGTTAAGAAGTTTAAAAGTTAAAATTTAGGCAAATATTATTTTGTTTTGCTTCATGATTTTGCTTTTTAATGTGCTTTGCTTTGGAAATTGGTTCCAGGGCAACATCAATTATTGGTAAAGAACAGTACTATTCCATTTAATTTCATTTCACCTTAGTATGTATTTACTGCACATGGTTAATGTGCTATATACTAGAAAAACAGCTGTTATTAAGTTACAAATATTTGGACTATGAAATAAACATTAATAAACAAAAAGAAAGGTTATTTTCTTGTTAAAGCCTTTTATTTAACACTTTTTGATGGAATGCCTGCTCTGTACCAGGTTCTGAAAACAATAATAAGAAATATTGAGTCTCCAAGACTCATACTTTCTAGATGAGCCCAAACCACTGGTTTCCAAGGTAGTTTCCTCACGAGTCTTCTTGACTTGACCCGGGCCCCCTCTTATTCTTCTGTTTCATCTGACAGTGTTTATTAGCTAGCACCTTGGGTAAAATTTCCCAACACTGTTTCCCACCCTACTAAGGGTTAGATTGATTTATCCCTCCCAGTTACACCTGTGATATTTGGATATCACAGAGTATTGCATTGGCCTGTTAACTCGCCTATCTTCTTCATCAAAATGTAAATATCTTGAGGGCAAAACTAAATTCAGATTACTGTTTTATATTGAGGATCTGGCCTAGGATCCTACTTGTAAAAGCATGAAAGTAAATGTGTTGAATGAGTACACACTGCCTATCCATTCTTTCTTTTTTTTTTTACTTAAATTCTTTTATTGGTACATTTTAGGCATACAACACATTTACATTTCTCAGTGGGAACTTGTACCTTTACATGATGCATCTTGGTTCTTATTTTTTCCCCATTCCTAGCCCTCCCTTCACCCCCTCCACCCTTCCCGATTTATAAAGACTTTATTTAAATTTTTTCCATTTCTTAGCATTTTTCCTTTCCCTTCTTTCCTTTCCCCTGCCCCTCCCACTCCTCCTACCCCTTTGGACCTTTTCTTTCTATTTTGCATTATCGATTATTCATTCTAATCATTGGTACATTTTAGGTATACAATATAATGACATTCATCATTGGAAATTTGCACCTTTACATAGTCTCTCTTGGTTCTTATTTTTCACCCTTGCTCAGCCCTCCCTTCAGCCCCTCCAT